GCTGCGCTGGCTTCATGTGTTCCTGGTATGCCACCCTCCATTACCACTTCACCTTGCACCAGCCCAGAGGACACAAAAGCAAGCAGAAGAGGAATGCGTGGAGGAAACAAGTCCCCCCCTTTTTCTCCGAGTGTTTGCACAGAGTTCAGGGCTGTGCTTTAAGCTGGTATTTAGGTGCTCAAAGAGACAGGTAGGATCACACTGAGATGGCCACAGACACCCTTATCCTTTTTGGACTGTAATTCCCCCAGGAGCTTAACTGCATGTGGAACTAGAGACCTGCATGGCTCTTCGTGCCTGTGACAGCACGGCCACAGAGTCTGCTGCCAGGGCACAGCCAAGGTCACCTGCAGACAGCAGAAGCTCCCGTTGCCTGTCCAGCATCTCTTTGCTCCATGTCACACCTTCAGAGTGATGAAATTTATTCATTTTCCAACTCTTATGCCATCTCACGTGCCAGAAAAGAAGACACTTGTGTGGTCTTAAGACAGAACTCGAGTGCACTTCGGAATTGCAAAGGCCATTGAGAGGGAGGTGGGTTTCCAGGCTTCACTGTCTGGCAGGCTGAGACAAAAATTCAGGAATTATTGAAGATTTTAGTGCAATTAGGGCTTGGAGAAGCTGATACAAATACCGGGAGCGCCATCTTGTGGCTGCTTCTGCACAGTGCAGCGTTTTCTTGGTCTGACACGTGCTTAGTGATGGGGTTTTTTTAACAGAGTTAGGTTGGTGGTTGGACTAGACGTTCTTAAAGGTCCCTTCAAACCTAGACAATTCTATGATTCTACCATTCTATGAACAGAGAGTTTTCCATTCATGTCCAATCAAGGTATCAACAAGATTTTTGGAAGCTCAGATGTAGCGTTACACGCATTCAGTCTCATCATTAAAACATACCCTTTATTGATGAAGTTGGAATTGTAGGAGAAGGAATAATTGCCACTAAAGTAGCTTTGAAGTCTTCCCACACACACCTACCCTTTAGTAATTAACCCATTAGGTGTTTTTGTTTGACTGTACACATCTGTTGTGGGATCACACACTGCACTGGCACACTGCAACAACTCAAGCCAAACTGGAAGAGCACAAGAACTGCAGAAAAGCAAGCTGAACTTGTCTTCGGTGACTTGATGCTCATGTAGGCAATGTCTTCAATCCCTGGAAGCATCCCAAGTTGTTTATCAGCCTGCCTGACCTGCACTAACATTGCTGCCAGCACAGGATCACAGCAAGCTTGGAAAAGAGCATTTACAACACCAGTAACAAAAGCTTATATTTCTCTGAATTAAAACACCTATTATTGCTATAATTTCTAGCACAATTTCACATGTATTTGACTGCCAAAAGATCAGGTGTCCCCCAGGCAGCCAAGAGTAATTGAAGAGAGATGCGACCTGCAAAAGAGCTTCACTTGCTCAGGGCAAACTTTTAACTGGGGCCATGAGACAGACAAGTGGATGTGAGCTGGCCACATCCCAGTTTCTCTCTGCAAGCTTTCTAACCACAACTTGAGCCCTAAATTTCTGGAACGTTTGGAAACTGAGTCCTTAACAGAACCAGTTACCACCGGAAAGAACTGGCCGATAGGCATGTTTATACAGCAAAAATGTTTAAACCCACCCCCTTTTCAGCAGCAGGGCTGCTCTTAAGGTGGAAACTGGGTTTCCAGCAGGGAGATGCACCAGCTTGATCTAGTTAATGGTAGCTAAAGAGGTATATTATTGATTTGGGTCTCCAGAATCCAATGTTCTGGGACAATGAAGCTCTCATAAAGATGAGTAGAAGTAGTGCAGGTCTGCTTGGATCACCACTGGTAGTATTCCTATTGCTAGATCATTTCCACACTGTTACACTTTAAAGCAGATGTCAGCAGGTTTCTTATTGCAGAGTCAATCGTAAGGACTAGCCGCCATCCTTAGTCAAGGCAGGCAGTGTTGTGTGCAGGTAGTGTGCACCTGAGGGACTGGCTTGTCTGATGTCTCGTGCATGTCTTGTGCAGGCTTCCTGGCACCAGCTGCCAAGGTCCTACCCACACCCAAATCCTGCAGTGCATTTTCCCAGGCCATGCAAGCATGCACTCCTTAGTCTATAGGTCAATACATACCTAGGATATCCTGAGGAACTATGGCATTTTCTTGCTGTTTGGGAACAGGTAAGCGAGCGTGTCAACTTGGGTGAGGCACATTGCTATCCTATTGCCTTAGATCATCTGCAGCTTTGACCCCTCTTGTTTCTATTTTATCTAACTTGAGTGCCTTCAGATCCTTCAGTGTCTCACTTCAGTGTCTGTTTCAGCACAAATTAGAGCCCCTGCAGAGGGAACTTCTGGCCTGGTGGCTTGCTTCCCTGTGTTCATCAGCCTGTTCCTCCTGTTCCTCTGGCACCCGGATCACAGGCTGGAGGAGAGGAATGACATTCCTGGTGTTTCCCAGGCCTCTGCAGTTCAGTCCAAGAGCATGTCTCTTTTTGCTTCTCCCTCCTAAAGAAGGTGTAGTTCCCACTCTCACTGATGGGTCTACAATTATAAGAGCTCTAAGGGAAATTCCTGGCATAGCCCACATAATCCCGGTTGGATAGAAGATGGTGACTGCACAAACTGCTCTCACACGGCATGGCTAGATCCAATCCTGAACTGCCTGTGACCATAGCAATGCAATGCACCAGTCCTGGTTTCACAGCACCATCATTTTCATCACAACGTCTAATAACTTACTCATGAAGTTGGAGAAAAGCTTTTGGTTATTGACAGCAACTGGAATAATAAATTGTGGAAAAGGAAGGTTATTTAAAAGTCCTCGGAAGGCTTGAGTCTCACCTCATCAGTTCCAGGGCCATCACAGGACACGACAGAGGCCAGAGGTTGGCTGGGACCTCAGTCTCACCAGGAAGTCAGCTGGCAGATTGCTATCGGTATCGACAAGAACAGAACACGATATTTCCTAAGACCTTGGCCTTGATCACAACATGCATGGAGGGAACAGGAGCTTAAGTGACCAGCGCTTAGAAGCCAGCTGAAAACTTGACCAGCACACCATAGGATGACACCCACAGAGAGATTGCCTGTTATCCAAAACCTGTTGGAGCTGCAATACTGGGTTGATGGGTCTTGTCTTCAGAGCCAACGTAGCAATTCTCTACATAGCAAGTGGAAACATTTCTCTAGATACTTATACTACTGACACTCATGGGAAGAACAGCACATCATGAGCCCCTCCAGAGGCAGGAAGGCTAACGCTTCCAAGAAAGGGAACCTCCAGATCTTGGAACTGTTGCAAAACAGGGTAGAGGTTTAATAGATGGGGTGAACCTTATCTGATACTCTCATTTGAATGCCAGCTCAAAGACTCGGAGGGCACATCTTGCAGAGGTTCACATAAGCAAAACTTATTATCTGGCCACATTCCTCCTGTCTGTACAAAAAATGGGTGATATATTAAGCTACGGTTGGTGTGCCCCAGTCAGTGTGCTACTTTCAGACTAACATGTTTCACGCTGTTCTACAACATATGCTTTCTGACATTTTTAAATTCTCACTTATTGCTTAGTTTATTATCTCTCACCTTTGTGAACTTAAGCAATTTACCTCTAATTTTTGCTGCTTTGTAGAGAATCCCCCTGGGCTGGAAATTCCATCAGTCTCACAGGTGAGCTGTCCCAGAACCTTCCTCCCCTCTGCACCAGCATCTGCAGAATTTTTTCTGAAAACACTTTTCTGTCTGCCTGTGTGATGTACCATATAACTGATGAGAGACTCTGACCACCTATATCAAAGTGAGGTGATAAAACCTATCTATATAAAGGGCTGAGGTGCTTACATCAGGCTTTAGTAAAACACGAGGCAGGAGAGCTCCAGGTTGCTTCTCAGATGGGAAACAACGATAGCACCCAAGGGCCAAGTATGGTGCTACATCCCCCAGAGGATGATGGCCCCAGTAACCCTTGTTGGCTCGGTTCCTCTCACAACCAGGCTGCCCAGCGGGCTCTACAGCAGCCCTGCTGCCGATCTCATGAGAGATCCCCGGCGTGGGAGATGGGTTTGCAAACTTTGGGGCCACTGTGTAACTCCCAAACTAATGTTTAGCAAGTTATTATTTAGTTTATGCATCTAAGGAGACAAGACTTGGGTGACTGAGCTGACAATCAGTCTACCAGCCTATCTGTCTATTCAGCTGTTGACCTGCCAAAAAAAACTTTTGTAAATGTTGGCCAATTGGAACTAAACTTGAAAAGATGCAGATGCCTCCAACAAGGTTTCAAATGGACTGAGGTCACTGGAATATGGTGAAAATCAGAGGCTTTTAGTACTACATGCACTAAGGAAAAGCTCGACCATTACCCAGACTTATATGGCTGAGTATAATTCTTGTATATTTTATATTGATGTTGGGATCAATATTGCTTCTTTAGTATTATTAATGGTAATTATTTAGTATTATTCTATTGAATCTGTTTATATTTCAACTTGTTTCCTTGTTCCCCCTGCCCCTTCGCCCCCAATTCCCTTTCCCAAGTGGGGAGGGGTCATTGGGTGGTAGAATAATTGTCTAAAGGACAACAAATTGTTGTGGGTTCTTCAAACCATAACAGGGATTTGTGTGAACCTGTCTGAATGCTTCTTGGAAGCAAGGAAGCGATCCTCCATGGAAAGGGGAGATCTGGCTAATCCTGCTTTAATTTTCAGAGTTCTCTCAAGTGTCTAGACACTACAGTATGGCAGTAAGGGGATTTTTTTTTGGAGTAGAGGAAAAAAATAAGGCTAGATCCATTAGATCTAGCTTCTCTTATTTAAGCTAGCTAAAGACATCATGCCTCTATCTAATCGTATACACAAGGTTAGCTCTGTTGTTTACCATACTGGCCACTCTCCCCTCCTGCAGGTAGAAGAGGCTCCAAATTACATGACAAAATAAGAAGAGCAGATGCCTTCAGAATGCAAAATTGTAAAAATAGATATTTTATTTGTAAAGCATTTTTTGAGAAACTCATCTAAAATACCACTTTTTCTTTTCTTTCAGAGAGTTTAAATATATTTTACATGAACAAGTCCCAGGATTCCATAGTACAAGCCTGCTGTACATGGTCTTTATTTCAACATTATTTGCAAGGACATCAGAAAGGTTTTACTAACAATGTGTTTGATATTCAAAGTAGACCCACCCCAAAAAAAAGAAGGAAAACAGAATTAACATAAGCAAGAGCGCACATTCGTGTTTTCAACACATAGCTCACTGGAGAAGTTGCATTTGCTGACAGAATATATTATCAAGTGAGGGCTCAGTGAATAGAGGAGCTAGCTATGTTTAAAACCCACATAAAATAAGTTTAACAAATATTAATCACACTGACTTTCCATCAGTGAGGTGAGCTGTAACTCCATAACCCAAACCTGAGCAGAAGGACAGCCAAGCTGATACTACATGGAAGAAAAGGGAGAGCAAGTCATGTTCAAGACCCTTCTTTCATAGGTCCCTGCAAAAAAATATAAATATTCCAGACAGAAAACATAAACCACCAACACAACTTTGTGTGCGAAGATGCCCTAGGTACTCACACAGCTTTCCCTGCTCAACCAGCACAGAGCATTGGCCTCACACAGTGACACTGCTGCCAGGCCAAGGACAAAGGAGCAAGGCTGGATGTGACTTCCCTCATCAGGGTGGTGATACAACCTGAACTAAATCAGCCTTTCTGCAGTAATGCCAGCACATAAGATGTCTTCACCCTTCTGCTTAACCAGGGTCTTTGGCAGGATTCCTCCAGGACCCACACTGTAGTGCAGGAAAGGAGGTATAAAAAGGACAAGAGAGTTGTTTGTGCACCACCGCTCTTCTGAGGTCCTTTGTCTCCTGGTGTCCCACACCATGCTACAGTTCTGGACACCTCCTTACTCTACCCCGTGCCAACTAACCATAACATAATCCACAAAGACAAAGGGCCTGAACGGTTTGCAGGGAGGGAGTGGGGTGTGTGAGCCAGGGCATCAACGTCACAGGATATTCAGTGCCTCAACATGAATGCTGAGCATAGGCATACAGACAAAATACATAGACACAGGGAGAACTGGTTTGAGATTAAATACATAAATCCTACTAAAAATATGTACAGCAATATACTGCCCTTTATCATTTGTTCAACAACGTGTTCCAAGCAGAATAAATACACCACAGGAGAAACAGACTGTGACTTCACCAGGACTGCAGCTAGGAGCCATGAAAGCCATTTCTTTTCATTGCTTTAAAGCAAAGGTCTGGTCAATGCCACAGGATTCTTCAGGCTGCTTTCATCAGACTCTACTTTGTGATTACCAAAGGCAAAATGGCACTATATGACACGCCCTTGCTCAACCAACTGTTTTTGACAAGCATACATAGATGAGTAAAATACTTCAGGCCAAATAAACCTTTTGTCTGTGCTAAAACACTAATTGCCCTGGGCTCATTCTGCAGTCACTGGAGAGAAAGAGGCATCTTCATATGGCGATAAAAATCTCAGGTGAGGTGAACCACTCTTGGCCAAGTGCATAAAGCCCAAAAGGGTGACTCTGGGCTGAGCTGTCCATACAGGTGACCTGCTACCTATAGCAGTCACTCCATTTACTGTGTCAACTAAATATAAAAGAGTACTGCGTAGCTCAGATGCTGTCTCTCTTTATAGTCAAGAGTTAGAAACCATCACAATACCTACAGAGGATAGTTGGAACAGAAGTTTCTCAGTGCCTCACTCTACCACATGTACAATGGGAAAAAATTCCTACTCCACCCCTGAGAGCAATGTTAAAAGGATGATTCATCAGAGGTTGCCAGGAGCTCAGGAATTTTGTGGTGGACATTAGAGTAGAGTTATCTGAAGTTAACCTAAACAATTTACATAGAATTTTAAGACATATATATTAATTTTTCTCCTTACCTAAAATACGTAAATGAAACCAATAGCCTGTATTATAATTGCTTGTAAAAGAAATTTCCCAGGAGTCCTTTGGTTACAACCAAATATTTACCTGATCTTTTCTTCATGTAGATGTAAACCAATGATACCAGAAGAATCAGCACTAATGCAACTCCAAGTAAAACTCCGAGGACAATCACTGCCACTTTCCAGGCGGAACTATTTTCAGTTGATGACTGAGCAGTCAGAGCTAGAAATTTAAAACACACTTTAGAAACGTGAACTAGAAACAGTAAAAAGAAAGCATGGTGCCCTAAGTCACAGCAGCATTTTACTGTTTGGAAGCTTCAAAACCTCTGAATAATATTAACAAATTTTTTGTATGTAGTAAAGGTTTGTTAACTAGAAAATTTTATGGACCCCTCTCTCTCAGAAGGTCCTTGTGGTCTATTGGTGACATCCATAATCAGTAGCTCTGAGGATTTGCTCTGTGGAAAGTATCTGGAAGGCTCTAGGAGGAGAGAACTCTGGCCTGTAGCTCAACAAAGAGTCATTCTAAGGTGTGAAAAAAGGCCATGAAATGGAGCTGTACATAATTTAACCTTCACAGTCCTCCTCATACTTGCACAACCAACTTTGTGAAATTAAACAGGACCCAGTCTGCCAGCTCTACTCACACCTACCCCTGCCTTGCTCCATAAGACGGTCCACTGAAACCAGACTCTCTAAACTGATAGACCAAAACCAGAAAGCTCCCTGATTGACAGATAAAGTCAATAAAAGGCTTGTAGCACATGAAAGCATACCTCATCTCTGTGGTAAAGATGCATGTAGTAATGGTGGAAAGGCACACAGACTAAATGATAGTGCTAGCCAGCACCCACAAAGAGAGGGTATTAATACATATTTTGGATTAATATCCTTCTGCACAATTTCTACTTTTCCTCTCAGCCTCTCCACATTTCTGCAGTACTTTGGGTTGCTAAATGCCCACCGCCTCTGTCCAGGGAAGCAGGGACCAAAGGTTTTTGAGGGTTGTCCAACAGAAGAGGTAAACCCTTCCATCACATCTGTCCATAGAGAAGTACTGCAGATACCACTACAGAATAAGTCACCTCATCCCCTTCTCCAGTGAAAGCCAATCTTTTAGGATCAAGGTGGCAGGTACAAAGGTGAGGCATGCTGCAACAAGAAGATCATCTAGCCCTCCTTCTCTGAAGGGAATCCATCCTTTGAGTTTGGAGCTGGGTATGTGTAATGGCTCCTTAAATAGATCCATAATCTAGGTGATATCTGGACTATGTGTTTTGTGAATGTTTAAATGGGTTATCTGAAATACTTGAATCTCTTACAGGAAAGAAGCTAATTTATCAGCTTCTGTGAAAAGCAGGAGATCTGACGCTTTAATCCCCATGCCATGACAGAGAAGCTGTTTCGACATTACTTACATTTCACAGTTACTTCAGTTTGGTCACCAAACTTGCTCCTCAATACTTGATTTAAATGTGCCTGAAAAATATTCACATCAATAGGCTCTTGGTTTTGCAGTAGAGAAATAAAATAAGCGATCACACTCCCAGGTCTGAATCCAAGCACAATGATATCGAAGTGGTCATCTTCCAGTTTAATGCGCATTTCTCTAACAACCTGTGTAAATTGAAATTGATATTCCATGTGTCAGTCAACTGAGGCAGAGCAGGAATGCACACATCATACACACATCAGCATAAACACATCAGGATATTAATTTTCTGCACTTATTTTTTCAGGGTAATCATTTTGAAATAACAAATAAATAAATAATGACCGTAATTTTTGTCTATACCACTAAAAAACTTACTGAAGGAGGATTCCAGAACAATGCGTGGTCTGTGACTGAAAATATGAAATCAAAGCTTGACTTCCAAAGCAGTAATCTGTTTAGCTAGTTATCAATGAATAATGCATTGAAACCAGTTATCCTCATCCACAGGCTACAAACTCATATGGGACCCCATATGGGGCTGTACAAAATTTGGAATCTACAAAGTGCACCTCACAGTTCTAAAGTTATCTTCAACGTCTTCTAGCTTTTTTAACATGTATAACTAAACTTCAAGTATGGTCACACACACTCTACCAGCACAGCACTTGACCTTGGAGGTTTAGAACAGATAAAATGTTTCTATCATGATATTATCAAAATCATGATTTTACAGAATACCTGTGCAAAGAAAGACAATTACCTGGTTTGTCTCTCAATCATTCTGGCATAAATTAAATGTAATCCCCTTACAACAATTGGAATGATTTTAGCTTTACATAGGTGTCTCCAACCTAGAGCCTTGCCCAGTGCTTTCACGTGGATATATGGCAAGAACAAGCAGTCCTCCCTTCTAAGCAAGACTGGTTGAAACATTTCTGTCAAGACTAATCGTTACAGAAAATTAGGTGTTTGATTCAACCCACTAAGAAAAAGGCATCTTCTTGCTGTGGCTAACATGATATTTTACCAGCAAAGTCTGAAAGAATACTATTTTTCATAGATAATAACAAACCTTGTTCTGAATCACTGCTCAATTGTCTATTTCCATCTTTCTCTATGGAACAACGCCCCCCCTCCCCCAAAAAACAACATGTTGCATTAAGTTCTCTGTCCAGAGACTCCAAAACCACTTTTGCTCACCACAATCATCAGTGGTGGAAACCTGGTCTATGCAGGGGGAAATGTAAAATTTCAAAACTACAACCACAGTGTAGTAGTACTGTAGAATTTAAAATAAATAGCTCAATATTCAATTTGTATTAAAAAAATCCAACACAGAAATTGAATACATTTTCAGTCATGTTTGTACAAACTCTTTTTGGTTTTGCCTTTTTTTAAAGAAAAGTGTGGTAACAGTCATGCTGGAATGTTGCACAAGTCCTGAGTGAAAGCTTATTAAAAGACAGTAATGGGGTTCCTGTTGCATTCAGTTGGGTTGGAGCCTTTTAAATTCACTCCAGTAAACTTTCTATCCATGAAATGGAGATGGTAGCAGTCATAAGACAAGGTTACCTCTGAGTTGGCGTTGCGAGAACAAATTAATTACTGCTTATGAAATCTGTGGAGCTTCCTAGCGAAAAGGTATGATAATCACACTAAAAATAATTTTCTATGTCATTTAAAAGTGTCCTACCCCAATCTTACAATAGTTTTACACTTCCAACAGGCCTATATATATCAGGATTCCTGAGAGGTGTGTAAATTACTAGTCTTTTTCTTAACATCCTGATAAAGACAGCTGAGTGGCAGACTGCTGCTTCCGCATGCCAGCTTTACTAGGCTCACCCACTCTCTCTAAGCTTCCACTTTTTCTCCTCAGTTCCTCCCTGATATGGACCCCTTGATACTTTCTGCACTCCTGCAACTGCTACCGTGCTTGTAAAAAGAGAATTTTGAAGTGCCTTTCACTAAATATCTTACATTTGAGGAAGAGTTAGGAAAAATACCCCTTCTCACTGGACAACTTGCTTTCTGTCCTCCAGTCAAGACAGCTCTGTGCTTCACAGAACCATAGAATCATATGGGGTTGGAAGGGACCTCTGGAGAACATCTCGTCTAACCCCCCTGCCGGAGCAGGTCTACCTACAGCACATTGCACAGGAACTTGTCCAGGCAGATTTTGAATGTCTCCAGAGAAGGAGATTCCACCACCTCTCTGGGCAGCCTGTTCCAGCGCTCTACCACTCTCAGAGTAAAGAAGTTCCTCCTCATGTTTAGGTGGAATTTCTTATACTCAAGTTTGTGCCCATTTCCTCTTGTCCTGTCACTGGGCACCACTGAAAAAAGACCAGCACCGTCTCCTGACACCCTCCCTTTAAGTATTTGTACACATTAATTAGATCTCCACTAAACCTTCTCTTCTCAAGACTAAAAAGACCCAAGTCCCTCAGCCTCTCCTTGTAGGAGAGATGCTCCAGGCCCTTAATCATCTTTGTGGCCCTTTGCTGTACCCTCTCCAGCAGTTCCCTGTCCTTCTTGGACTGGGGAGCCCAGAACTGGACACAGTATTCCAGATGGGGCCTAACCAGGGCAGAGTAGAGGGGTAGGATGACCTCCCTTGACCTGCTGGCCACACTCTTCTTGATGCATCCCAGGATGCCATTTGCGTTCTTGACCACAAGGGCACATTGCTGGCTCATGGGCATCCTGTTGTCCACAAGAACTCGCGGGTCTTTTTCCTCAGAGCTGTCCTCCAGCAGGTCAGCCCCCAACCTGTACTGCTGCAGGGGGTTATTGCTCCCCAGGTGCAGCACCCTACACTTGCCCTTGTTATATTTCATTAGGTTTCTCTCTGCCCAACTCTCCAGCCTGTCCAGGTCTCGCTGTATGGCAGCACAGCCTTCTGGGGTGTCAGCCACCCCTCCTAGTTTTGTGTCATCAGTAAACTTGCTGAGGGTACATTCCATCTCTTCATCCAGGTCATTGATGAATATATTGAAGAGGACTGGACCCAGTACTGACCCCTGGGGAACACCACTTGTTACAGACTTCCAGCTGGATTCTCTGCTCCTGATCACAACCCTCTGGGTTCTGTCTTTCAGCCAGTTTTCAATCCACTTAACTGTCCATTCATCTAACCCATACTTCCTAAGCTTAGCTATGAGGATGCTGTGGGAGATGGTGTCAAAAGCCTTGCTGAAGTCAAGGTAGACAACATGCACCGCCCTCTTCCCATCTATCCAACCAGTCATGACATCATAGATAGCTATCAGGTTAGTCTGACATGACTCCCCCTTGGTGAATCCATGTTGACTACTTCTGATAGCTTTCTTTTCCTCCATATGCTCTGAGATGACAGCCAGGATGAGGTGTTCCAGGGATGGAGGTGAGGCTGACCGGTCTGTAGTTCCCCAGGTGCTCCTTCTTGCCCTTTTTGAAAACTGAAGAGACATCGGCTTTCCTCCAGCCCTTGGGCACCTCACCTGTTCTCCAGGACTTTTCAAAGACATTGGAGAGGGGCCCAGCAATGACTTCTGCCAGGTCTCTCAGCACTTGTGGGTGCATCCCATCAGGATCCATGCACTTGCAGATATCCAGTTTACTTAACTGCTCTCTGACTTGATCTTCCTTCACCAAGGGGAAGTCTTCCTTCATCCAGACTGTCTCTCTTACCTCCAAAGTCTGGGACTCCTGAAGGCTGACCTGAGCAGTAAAGAGTGACTTGTGGATGTCTAGCCTTCTTAACTGATCTCTAACTTGGTCCTCCTCCACCAAGGGAAGATCTTCCTTAGTCCAGACTTTCTCTGATTCATCCAAAGTCCATGGCTCCCAGGGGTTGGCCTGAGCAGTAAAGACTGAGGCAAAGAAGGCATTCAGCAACTAACACTGATTCCTATACTGTTTTATCAATGAGGAATTATCATTTTCTCCTGTCACAATCTTCATTTTACAATGAATCTAGGAGACTGATGTTGCTAATTACAAAAGTTGTCTTAGTTCATTCATGATGACAAAGAAGATTGTAGCAACTTACTTCAGTTTTGATACTTTCAGACATTTTTTTGTAGCCTTCACTATCAGAGTTATAAAGAGCATGATTAAATGTCTGGTTTTTTAACAAAACACTGCAGGCAAATGCTTGGTAATCTGGAAAAAAAAAAAAGGTGAAACAATTAAGCAAATCCCAGGATGTCACTCCACAATTGCTTTTTGGACTTTTTTATCTCATGTATTTAAAAAACTAATTGATAAAAAGAGAAACTAATAAAATAATAAGAAAGTGTATAATCTGTCTCACGCAGTAGCTTCTGAACCTTCACAGTTGAACCTCTTCCTCTTCAAATCTGTCAGCCATCACAATCTTCACAACATGTTAATCATACCTACATTATTCAGGGTGCATCCCACTCCCTAATGCAACAGCCACTCTCTCATTGATTTCAGCAGAAGCAAGATCAGCCTGCTAGATTTTGCAAGGCACTGAGTACGTTTAAATCCTCCTGAGTAGGTGGCTGAGCCCTGAGCCAAAAGAAGTATGCTTTACATAGAAAACTCCAGATGAAAAATAGAGCTGGAAGCTGACACTGAAGTTTGAGGAAGGCAGCTTCCTTACCAAAGAAGCATAAACTTCAGATGCTTTGTGAATTGACATAACAAAGCTGATGGCAAAATACTTATGAAAGACACTATATTGTAAAATAATACCCCATACATACGAATAAACAAATTTTAAGATTCTATAAAACTTACATGAGCATACAGTGTATTTTAAGTCAGAACAGCCAGTGTTTTGTGGTAAGCAAAACTCAGTTCTGTTGAGGCAGGAAACAGGATCTGCAAAATAAATAAAAAATCAAGATGATTGCCTCTGTGCATGTGTGTTTGTTTCTAGAAAATTATGAAATAGGTGAAAGCATTTAATCATGGCCAAGGAATCAACTAAGCAGCAGTTCCTTTTGCCTGGTGAGAAATTAGAACTGCAGATTATAAAAATGAAGCATGTCAAACCAACCCCCACCAAGGCAGGTGGTGGGTAGGGAAGTAGTATTTGAGAACTTTACTGAAATTATATTGAGAACTCTAATTTCTTATGAGAGTTAAAGATACAGGTTGTACTGTTACGTGGTTGTCCAAGTCAGCTAAACTAGACAGAGTTTTCAGAGGTAAAAGTAACCTGCAATTTCATTTGAAAGAAATACGCATTATGGAGTCTGAAAATCTTAGTGTCTTTGTCTGGACTGGCTAACCTGAATTATTTATAATGGGTCAAAACAGTAGTAAAGGGTGGTACTGCAGTTTTTATATAGTTAGTTCATTGGGTATAGCTCTAGTTCTCCTCACAGAATTGAACATGATCTTTAATTCCATATAAAATCCAGATAACTTGGAATTTATTGCTCTTTTTAATTAGCTCACAAACACTATTTTGGTAAGGCAAATGGTTTCAGGTTACAAAAGGAAACAAATTTTTATATTTTTTTTAAATGTGGAAACTAATACATGAAAACTAGTGGACTAAAGTATTGAAAGTTTTGAATGGAAATTATGATGAGAATTCCTTGGCTCTGTGGTCATAAAGCCTAAGAGAGACGGTAAATCCGTAAGAAGGAACCCCGCATTTAACTGCTAGAATAATTGCCCTAGAAGGGCAATTGAGAATAATCAGACAGTTGCCTAGAAAAGTGAAAAAAGGATTGCAAGAAAGACAGTTATATTTTAGAGGCCATGAAATGCTGGAAGAAAGTAATAATTGACAAAAGGCAAATTAGATCTTTCAAAGGATATTAAAAGAAATCATTAAAATTTTCTCAGACACTGAGAAAGTATGATAAAGTGCAATACAGCTTTTTTAAAAGCAAATCATGCTAAAATGACCTAGTAGATTCCTTTAACAAATTGACTTTCAGATCTCTTTCAATGACAGAAAACAGTATTATAGAGTGCCAAATGGTAAATTTATAGTGGGAAAAGATTTGTCTAAAGGAATTGGCTAATGGGGAGATGGCAATGGGTAGCTTGAAAAGAAGAAACCTTGCTTTAGAGGGATATTACATGTGGTGTTCCTTTAGAATCAGTCTGGATGCAGAACTTGTTCAATGTTTCCATTTTAGATCTTGCCAGAAAATGCAGGAGTTTGCTCATAAAATATGTTGCTAGCATGAAGTTAACAAGTGTCATTAACACAGAGGAGAATCGAGATACCTTCCAGAAAGAACTGGATGAAGCTAAGGCTGAAGCAATTAGCACTGGGATGACATTGCCTGGAAGCTGTGCATTTGGGGATCAATAATAAAAATGTCTTCTCTAACCTGGCAGTACAAGCATTGAAGGACTTCAGTGCCTGAGCTGATCACAGCTGTGATGCAGCTACGAAAAAAGCATGTGTTGTCATATGACACATAGTTCAATACATTCCCAGTAGACCTGAGAATACTAATGCTATGATAAGCACACTGGTACAACCTTGACTGGATGGCTGTGTATAATCCCAGTTACACACATTCAAGAAGGGTGACTTCTATCAGAGAAGAGTGATGGGGGCCTCCAAGGCAGAGGAGAATTCTTCTTAGGAAAAGAAACTACAAAAGAATGGCTTGTCTAGTCTAGCAAAGAAAGGGAGAGAGCACTGTCTGTAGAAAAGTTTATAATTATATGAGGGGGAGAGAGCAAAATATGAGAAAAGGAAGAAAGGAGAGTATTTAAACTAGAAGTCAATGTTAGCACAAAAGCCAACTTTTAGGCTGGCTATTTGATAAATGTTTTCAGAACATCAGAGCATTGCAATTCTGAAACCGCTTTTCATTTGGAATAATGGAGGGAAAATGCCTAAGACCTCTCAAGATGCCTTATGAATTGAGTTGATAAGAACCCTCTGTAGTTTTTACCTTATAGCTACATAGCTATACTTAACAGACCACTGGTTGTAAACCTTGTTAAGAGGCAGGCATGGATCCCCAGCTCAGCACTGCTCTAAGGGCTTTTGTGTGGGTAGAGGTAGGCAGAAGATTTTTCAAGAAAAGTAAGTTCCTGTCCACTTGCAACATTTTTTGCAGATGTACCCATGACATGATGACTATAAGTGCACAGACATTTCAACTAAGAAGGTCCTGTTGAGTGCAATGGATGCTAAAATATTGGATCCAGGTTATATGTGCAGTCCCTACATGGCCTGTAAAGAAGACAATGTCACCTGGGAGGCATGATATGAAAAATTTAGTCCAAAGCATTTGGCTGAGGGAAAGGATGTAAGTGCCCAGGAGCTTATATGTTTGCCAAAATATACTTTCCAGGTTTATCTGAAATTTTGAGAAAAAATAAAACATGTGTTCTACTTTTTATGCATTAGTACAGTGACACAATTAAGCAGCATGTCTTCGTGTTTATATGCTAGGATGAAATTAAGAAGTTAACAATGACAATTAAGGACTGCTTGCTTTCACAAAAGCATGTACAACCTAAATGTCAAGTTACCAGTATATTTCCTGTTAAATTTACAACCAAAATATCCTGACTTTCATACAGAAATATCTGGATCAACAATACAGCATGGTCAGAAAATTTATAGAATATGCACTTATTCTTGCAAGCTCCTGTTTAATCCAAGTAGTTCCATCCAAGTAAGGAGAGGAGTCAGATAAATAAAGACAACTTACAGGAAAAATAGTCTATGAAATCAAATTCAAATTATATTGTAAAAAGATATTCTGAGAGTATATTAATTGAAAATAAATGACAACATGATCAAGTAAATACCTGTTCGGACACGAAATGAAGTCCAGCTGTTCTCAGCACAAGATGATACTGCCACAAACACTGTGTATAGATGACCGGGAAGTAAACGTTTAAATACAGCTTTTGTCTCTTTTGTAGTTGTTCTATTTATCTCCTTGTTTCCATCCACAAGGGAGATAGTGTAGAGGCTTCCCCTCCTGTCACTGGTCCAGCTGAATTGTATTTCTTCCCCAGTCACATTCTGAACTTTGATGGACACTGGCACTGCAAAATGAAAAGTGTCATACAGCTAAGGGCGGTTCATTTCACTTTTGCAATCCTATACATTTTATATAAAAGTAAAAAAAAAAATACAAATTAAACCAATATAAATTTTTTTGAGTTTCCTTAGAGTTGATTTCAGCCTTCCACCTCATTCTTCCCCAAGAGCAGAAATAAACTGTTGGGTCTATAGATGTAAATCATACATTAATGTACTTCATTTGATGGCTCCAAAACACAAATGAGTGACATTCTACTTGCTTCTAGTTTTTCTCACCACAGGCAAGGCAACTGCTCCAAAGAGTGGTCTGAGATGGGCTCCTATTTGACTCATACTCATATGATCAGGAGAATAGATCACTAAAATGCCACCAGGAAACCCTAAATTCAGAGCAGTAGATAGGCCTTTAATAAATGTACTTCATAATAATATTAAGAAAAATCACCTATCACAGTGGTTTATCACTGGAGGCAGGCACCCAGTGGAACCTTACTGGGTCCAGGAGGTCTTTACCAAGGTGTAGAAACTGCCTTGACTGATATTTGTGTAATTATGTAGTGGTTCTGTGTGGCGGTGTGCTCTCCCTGTTTTGTTCCCAACCCCCTCCCGGCTCCTTTCCGGCCTTGGCCACCACGGCCATCACAACAGCAGCTGTGATAACTTGCACCCGGTCTCTGGGGGATGGCTGGCAGCATAGTCACAATACTGTCTGGAGTGGGGACCTAGAAATTTTGTTGCCATGAAAATATGACTATAGGTCAATTATCTTACTGTATAAAGAGTGGACAGCCCAAGAGCCCCTTTGAGCTCTCCTGTATGGCAGCGGGCTGCACGCTAGGATCTCCCCTTTTCTGAGGACGCTCGCTTAAGGTTCTACTCCTCGAGGCTGAGAGATTCCTTACCACAACAGATTCTCAGTAAGTGACTAATAGCATGCTAAACTTTGAAATCTTAGCTAAGTAGTGTAAAGGATTGATGGCACATATATGATCCTTTAGACATAAACCGTTGACGAAGTCTGGGACTAGGACTGGATCCAGCTGCACCCAGACTCCTCTCTGAGAAGGAGTTTAGAAAGCAAGGGGGTCCATTCTGAATCTCGTGACTCAACGGGAGGGTCTCCCTGACAGTTTGTCTGACCCTGTTCTCTGTGCAGTAAATAATAGAGTGTACCTTGACATCGAATTTTGTAAAACACTACCGCATTTACTACTGGTTTTGTTAAATCACTGTTTCACCTTAATAAATATTTCACTGCTTCACTCTAACTAGTGAAGTTAATCACTCCGTCTGCGACATTCTCTCAGGCTTCCCTTTCTGAAATTATATCCAGAGAGTTTACTTCACAGCTGATATGACTGATGCACAAGAATATTGTATCTGATTTTAATATGTCATCATGGATAATTTTTATTCTAGTATTCAATATCAAATATTTACTTACTGCAAGGTGCTGGTGAAAATGTGGTAGTAAAACCAGAATTAGCTGTGGATCTTGTAAATATAGCTGTAGCATTTTTTGGAAGGACTGTAGTCATTTGTTCTGTAAAATCTCTCAGGCTTCCCTTTCTGAAATTATATCCAGAGAGTTTACTTCACAGCTGATATGACTGATGCACAAGAATATTGTATCTGATTTTAATATGTCATCATGGATAATTTTTATTCTAGTATTCAATATCAAATATTTACTTACTGCAAGGTGCTGGTGAAAATGTGGTAGGAAGGACTGTAGTCATTTGTTCTGTAAAATAGCAATCTGAGGTCAGTGAATAGAATTTATTTTAAAGTTTCACCAAGTCTGTGCTATTTATTTTCATAAACAGTTTTGAAAAAACAAGCCCAGAAAATATGCTTCAGTTGAATACTATGGTTAACTATTTAGGAAAACATTCTCAACCATAAAAGGCCAATGTAAGTAATTATAATGAACTATTAGCTGAGGGAGGGTCAGGAGAGAGAAAAGACCTTATATGCAAATTTTTAAGGCTTTTTTTCTTTTAAAGAAAAAAAAACAAAACAAAGCAAAACTAAAACCAACTTTTAAAGAAAAAAACAAAACAAAGCAAAACTAAAACCAAAAAGCAGTTACCTGAAGGTAGATTCTGCTTACGCTGACAAACTCTCCCTGGAACCTGGGGACTATTGTCTGTGAATCCTTTGTTGCATTGACAGGAATAAGTGGCTCCTTCAGCTGTGCAGGTAGCATTTTGGGAACAGTCATTTAATCCTGGCTGACAACTGTTCCTTGCTACAGTGAAGTTAAACAAAACAGAAAAGGAACAAGGGTGTAGGTCAGCATTGGAAAAAGAGATATGCAGAATGCTATTTGCAATTGCCTTTCCCCACCTTAATCCCATTTCACTGGATGTTACCATCAGTGAAATATACACTACTGCTTGAATTCACAGTGATGAACAAATTCATACCTTGTATAACAGTCTTTCTAAGATCAGCTTGTAATACAGTACTCATATTAAGGGCGCCTGTAAAAGCATCTGAAATCTCTGTTTTTGTTATATTTTCTCCTATATCCATAACAATGTTGAAGATCACAATCACACTGCCATTCTTGAGGCTATTAATTTCAATATGCATTTTTGTCCCGTTTATTAATTCTTGGATCTTCTGTGGTAGATGTTTTTTGATCTGCAAGGTAAAAGGTAAAAGTTATCTATTTTTCTCCTTCAACATCAAGAGTTGTTAGGGCAATATGATGGCCATAATTCATTTGGAAGCATCTCTCATGGTAAAGGAACAAGGTGTAATTTAAACCGGGGCCTCAGAGGACCACAATATAAATGAGAAGTAAGGCCTAAATAAATACTGTTTTGTTTCTAACCATCACAATCTTTCCTCGCCACATTTAAGATTATTCATACCCATATCCTCATGATTATTTAGATTATGAAGAACACAACAGAATATAAATTTTGGTTAGAATTCCAAAACAAAATACCTCGTTAATGAACTTAGTTTCAAATTCCTTAAATGCTGCACTTGATTTGTTCTGATATTCAGGTATGAAATCTTTATTGGTAATCCTAGTGGTTCCGTTGAAGACTTCAGCAGCTGTGGAGATATTAAAGACAGAGTAACCAACCAAAGCATAAGTATTGTTTAAAAATGATTCCTCGGCTAAGTACCTCTAAGGATAAGAGCAGATCAGGTGAATGATCAGCACCTACAAATTTAGCAAGACCAAATGCTGGCCACAATATATCTCATAAATACTCTGTATCACTACTGACCACTGCATTCATCACCTTTTCTTGATGTGCCTCTGAAGGAAGAGGACAAGCTGCTACATGATGTGGATGGGAAGGACCACTGTAACCTTGGGCTACGTGCCTCACAGCAAAGCAGCTTCAAACATCAGTCCCTGCAAGAGACCTGTCCTTGACCTGCAGTACATTGATGCTGCTCCTTCCAACATGTGACTTCATGTACCAGACACAGTTGCTCCCAAAATCACAGATACTGTCCCATGGGAGGATAAAGCGAAACTCCAGATAATAGAATAGGTATTTCACTTGTGAATTTAGCTACACTGGTATATTCCACTGTAAGCATTTGCCATACTGCAGCTGCTTCTTCTACTGACAAAGAAGCTGGAATTTGCAAAGTGAACAAGCAGTAAAAAGTGCAGAACTCTGAGCTTTCCTAGGGTAAGCATCTACAGGAAGACTATGGCTTTAAACCTACTGGCTGCTATGTGACTGGGAACCCAAAAGTGGGCACAACTTGTGTGTGAAGATGCAGGAGCAGGCTTGGAAGTCAAAAGTATGGAGCTGGGAGAGACTGGCATGTTGAATCACTGTGGTTTTAGTTCAGTAAAGTTTTGAATTTGACAGGAGGACAAGGGAGGCTTTGGATCTCAGCCCCAAGAAAAATTTGAGGCCTGGCTTTAAATGAAAGTCTGGCCTCCCTTTGCCTATTTTTTTCAGTATATAGCTTATTCACGTCTAGGTAGGTGCTCAACGAAAAAGGCTCCATCTTCAGGCCATGCATGTGTTAGTCTGCTAATGGAAAAAAGGAAAGGTTCCTGAGGAAATACCTGTCCGAACTGTCAAGGAGGTACTGATATTCTTAGAGCAAGTTGTAACATCCACGGATATTTGATACTCATTATCAGAAAGTAGATTTTTAAAGGCAGTGCTTGTTTCATTTAGGCTTCCATTCCACATCTCTCTAGAGCCTCCCCACAGACGCACTCTGTAAGGACCATCTCTTGTGCCACCTTCAGGTTTCCAGCGGAACTGTATCATAGTGCTGGTCACCTTTTCCAGCTGTATGGAGACAGTCACAGGAACTAAAAAGCAAAAAGGAAATTCCTGTCAGGCATACAGTTACAGCTTCTGTGTCTTTCAGGTATAAAGTAATAATGCAAAACTGTCTGCCTGTGTAAAATTTGAAGTCTCTGCAATGTTTTTATAAAGGTGTGAAAGACCAAGTTATACCTTTTCATGCATGTGCATATCTCCTATTGAATTCCATGAGAGCACTACAACTCCAAATCGGTGTAGAATTAACCCCTCAGATTTGAATTAAAAGAAGAAGAATACAATTATGCTCTAAAAATTGAAAGCATATCCTCAGTTGGGTTTTTTTTTGGTGCAGAACTGAAAATGGTTGCATTATTCTCCTTTTGTCTTTTCTCTACTTTATTATGCATCAAAAAATCATTAAAACTCACTACTGCATATTCCTTGAAATCAGCAGATAGCCACTTGAGAAAAAATAAAGATACACTAGAAGATAATTATAATTGAAAAACTGAAACAATCAAAGACTGAGTTAGAATAAATAAATTTGAAAGAATTCTCCAAATGAAGGAACAGTGACCACTATTTCATAATATCGAATAAAAAAAAAATCAAATAAACAAAATGAAAAAATTAAAGTTCACAATAAGATAACTACATGTGTGCAACATAACTTCACATCATATAACTACTGCAGAAAATCGCACTGCCATTTCAAATACAACTGCAGATTAGACAGGCAGATTTTGAGAAATGTATTTAGAGGCAGTGAATCACATTCCTGGAAAAATTCCAAATTAGAAGTCATGCAGTAAAGAGTCAAAATTCCAACAGGAAAAAAAAAGAAAAAATGTAAATAAAAGTCAATTCTCCTAAAGATAATAAAAATAAATGTAGTAGCATGTACTAAAATACTCACCGCAACTTGACCCTTCAGCGAGGCCGGTCGTGGCATGGCTAGCCACGGAGTCCGGCGCTGTGGCAGAAGAGGAGCTCTCTGTGGAAGATGAAGTAGTCCTTCCCTCCACCGTGCCCTGACCCTGCGTGAGGGCTGTGGAGGACCAAAGGTTGGCCTGGGTGGCATCTGAGGCCAGGGACGTGCCAGAGGTGGAAGCCAATGGCTTGGGGCTAGGCGTACTGGGAGATGGGCTGTGCTCCGTGGTTGCTACCGTCACAGCACCTGGCCCAACGCTCATACTGTCATGAGTGGAGGATGGAGTGGAGGACACAAGTACCGTGGAGGGGTGGGATGTGGCAGTCAAGTCTTGCTCAGTGGTGCCGCTGGTGCTGCTTGGCTGCAGGCTGGCAGTGGCAGCTGAGGAGCCCACAGGAGACGAGGAGAAGTGGCTGGTCACTGCCAAGCTGGGCCCAGGAGACATGGAGGCAGCACTGCCATTCGCTGTGCCCATAACGGTGGACATGGCATCGGGCTTCCACGTGGGGACGGTGGGGCTGGTCACCTCTCTCTGGGCCGACACCCCGTTTGAGCTCCCTTCCCAAGTTGACACAGTAGCCGCAGTCTCTGTCTGCCCCTCTCCAGTTGCCATTGTTGTTGCAGATGGGGTCACCATAGATGTGGCAGGGAGGGAAAGGGACGTCTTGGCATTGGGCTCTGTCCTCGGGCTGCTCCCCTTCATGGTGGTGGGACTCTCCCCTTCAGCGAGGCCGGTCGTGGCATGGCTAGCCACGGAGTCCGGCGCCGTGGCAGAAGAGGAGCTCTCTGTGGAAGATGAAGTGGTCCTTCCCTCTACCGTGCCCTGACCCTGTGTGAGGGCTGTGGAGGACCAAAGGTTGGCCTGGGTGGCATCTGAGGCCAGGGACGTGCCAGAGGTGGAAGCCAATGGCTTGGGGCTAGGCGTACTGGGAGATGGGCTGTGCTCCGTGGTTGCTACCGTCACAGCACCTGACCCAACGCTCATACTGTCATGAGTGGAGGATGGAGCAGAGGACACAAGTACCGTGGAGGGGTGGGATGTGGCAGTCAAGTCTTGCTCAGTGGTGCCGCTGGTGCTGCTTGGCTGCAGGCTGGCAGTGGCAGCTGAGGAGCCTACAGGAGACGAGGAGAAGTGGCTGGTCACTGCCAAGCTGGGCCCAGGAGACATGGAGACAGCACTGCCATTTGATGTGCCCATACCGGTGGACATGGCATCAGGCTTCCCCGTGGGGACGGTGGGGCTGGTCACCTCGCTCTTGGCCGACACCCTGTTTGAGCTCCCTTCCCAAGTTGACACGGTGGCCGCAGTCTCTGTCTGCCCCTCTCCAGTTGCCATTGTTGTTGCAGATGGGGTCACCATAGATGTGGCAGGGAGGGAAAGGGACGTCTTGGCATTGGGCTCTGTCCTCGGGCTGCTCCCCTTCATGGTGGTGGGACTCTCCCCTTCAGCGAGGCCGGTCGTGGCATGGCTAGCCACGGAGTCCGGCGCCGTGGCAGAAGAGGAGCTCTCTGTGGAAGATGAAGTAGTCCTTCCCTCCACCGTGCCCTGACCCTGTGTGAGGGCTGTGGAGGACCAAAGGTTGGCCTGGGTGGCATCTGAGGCCAGGGACGTGCCAGAGGTGGAAGCCAATGGCTTGGGGCTGGGCGTGCTGGGAGATGGGCTGTGCTCCGTGGTTGCTACCGTCACAGCACCTGACCCAACGCTCATACTGTCATGAGTGGAGGATGGAGCAGAGGACATGAGTACCACGGAGGGGTGGGATGTGGTAGCCAAGGCTTGCTCAGTGATGCTGCTTGTACTGCTTGGCTGCAGGCTGTCAGTGGCAGCTGAGGAGCCCACAGGAGATGAGGAGAAGTGGCTGGTCGCTGCCAAGCTGGGCCCAGGAGACATGGAGACAGCACTGCCATTTGATGTGCCCATACCGGTGGACATGGCATCGGGCTTCCATGTGGGGACGGTGGGGCTGGTCACCTCTCTCTGGGCCGACACCCCGTTTGAGCTCCCTTCCCAAGTTGACACGGTGGCCGCAGTCTCTGTCTGCCCCTCTCCAGTTGCCATTGTTGTTGCAGATGGGGTCACCATAGATGTGGCAGGGAGGGAAAGGGACGTCTTGGCATTGGGCTCTGTCCTCGGGCTACTCCCCTTCATGGTGGTGGGACTCTCCCCTTCAGCGAGGCTGGTCGTGGCATGGCTAGCCACAGAGGCCGGCACCATGGCAGGAGAGGAGCTCTCTGTGGAAGATGAAGTGGTTCTTCCCTCCACAGTGCCCTGACCCTGTGTGAGGGTTGTGGAGGACCAAAGGTTGGCCTGGGTGGCATCTGAGGCCAGGAACGTGCCTGAGGTGGAAGCCATGCCCTGACCCTGCATAAGGGCTGTGGAGGACCAAAGGTTGGCCTGGGTGGCATCTGAGGCCAGGAACGTGCCTGAGGTGGAAGCCACCTCGCTCTGGACCGCCACCCCGTTTGAGCTCCCTTCCGTCCCTTCAGTCGGTGTTGTTTTTGTGAGGTTACCAGTTTGCATTTCAATACTTGCGTTTGTCGTTACTTGCCCTGTAATTATATTAAGTATGTCAATACGGTATCAGATTTTTTTTTCTTTAATTAATATTTCATTTATCTTTCTCATATTCATTTTTTTCCTTTCCATCGTTTTTCACTTTTACATACTTTCTTTGATATTTCTTAACTAACACAGAGATTTCTATGCTGTTTCCCCCTTTCATTTGCATAGGTTGAAGTGGGTCTTTACCTCACTGATTTCCTTGTCATAATCTTTTTCTATGTCATATTTACATTATTATATGCTTTGCTGTTTCTATTCCACTGTCTTTGATTTTTTATGATTTTTTCTTCCTCTATAATTTCTTGCAGACTTAGGGACATGTTTTAGTTCTGGGCTTGGCAGTGTTGGGTTTACTGTTGGACTCAACGATCTTAAAGGTCTTTTCCAACCTAAATGATTCTATGATTCTATGATCTGTCTAAACTGACACGTCTAGAATATTAACAAGGAAAATCAATAATGAACTGAATGCATTTTTTTCTGCATCATTGTCTCCTCAGCTTTTTGTGTATATTTTATTATTTCCTTTTCTTTATTTTGCAAGGCAATTATGTCTTTTATTTACTGGCTGTCAGTCAGGAGAGCAAGCTTTTCTATGCATATCTTTATATCACAAATCATAGTATACATGGGAGAAAAGTCATTGTTTTCCTATGTTTACCTGTATCTCTATGAATAAATCATAGCTACTTTAGTTCATAAGTATGACAATGGTAACATGTCTAACAATCCCAGTATTTCTTTAAAGAGAAAATCAAATCCTTTTTCCAGTGTGATTTAATACTCAGGCTAATTCAGGCTTGTTTCGTTTACGTGCTCAAGTAATTTAACCTTGCTTTTGAGGAGTGGTTTTGCTCCTACTGAAAACACAGACATAGTCTTCTGTCTCATGTTAATATTACTCTTGAGCAACCCTTAGTTATTATCCTGGGTCCTTGGTTTTGGCTGTATAAAACTTGAAGGATTCTCAGAGAGGGTATACTGGAGTAGCTCTATCAAATTTTTAAGAACCACATTAATTAACTTCTTTTGACTCTATTTACCTGTAAAACCAAAGTGGTATTTTCACATCATTTGGTGTATACATAAAAGCCTGTAAAATATGTAGCAATGTATATTTTGCAAAATTCTTCCTACCAACTGATACATTTTCTGCATCCCAGTGCAGCTTGAATTGTAAAACCCTGTGCTTGTATCCTTTGGATTAATAAGAGCAAATACTGATCACTCAAGAAACTAATACTTGTCTGCATTGAATGGCATTAAAGTGGACACTAAGAAATAATGCAGCCCTCCGAATTTCTAAATGTTATTTCAAAAAACTCTTGCAGTACAGTAAGAACACAGCACAATTAATACCACCTAGTCCATGCTTTCTTATGAGTCTTCCTAAAAAGTCTCTCAGGGGAGGAAAACAGGCAAAATAGATCATTCATTGGTCTCATAACCAAGCCCAAGGCTATGAGAGTCATAAAATCTGTTCAGAGACTGCATGTTTCATCTTTTAGATAAAAGTTTTCCAAATACTTTGCTCTTATTCATTTTATCTACTTACAGCTTTATATTACAACTAAAATAACTGCTGAAAAGCTACACGTTCAAGAGAAATTAAAAAAAAAAAAAATTAACCATAAATATTACATGCTATTGCATTTTATATTGATTTTTAGCCATCCAGCCCTTCCTCAGATTATCATTTCAAATTCCTCTCAAGGATATCCTCTAAATATATAGCAATGGTAAAGAATCAAATAGATTTTAACTTACACAGAATAAACGAGAAAATAAATTGCCAAAGGTAATTCCAAGTCCCCATGTTGAGTTTTCAGCTCCTCACAGCACTCTTTCCATTTGTGAAACTGACATTTTGAATGGGAGACTTCATTAATTTAAACAGGGGTGAGGCTGAACTGTTACGTCTCAGCCTCAGCTAATCCCTCACACCAGTGGGCTCACAGCCAATGCAATGAAATTCTCACACCTGACCTGTACTACAATGAATTCCAAAGTTTTCTGTTGAAGTATGCTTGCTTTTCTTTGATGGAACAAAATCTGAATGTGAAAGGCTGGTTAGTCGAAAGGAAGGGCAGACAGAATTCAGTGAGCAATGCGTCTCACCTCAATGTCTTTTTTGTTGAGGGTATTCAATAAAAAGAATATTTTAACAGCCTTGGCCTCGGGCAATGCATGACTAAGATACAGAACTGAGGAGCTTTGAGTCCAAAGGAGTCCCTAATTAGGAGATACAACTTTTTTTTCTCCCCATTTTGCTGTATTTTTAATTATTTAGCAGTAAATATTTAAGTGTTCAGTTCTAACTTGTATTTTTATTTTATTAGAATGGCAAATAGCTAGAAATGCACCAAACAGACATCAGGCTTTGGTTGTCCAATACTGTAAGAAGGCTGAAGTAGTTATAAATCTCTGCTACTTCACCTCTTTGAACTAGGTGGAAAATACTGGATTCCTAGCTGAGTTTTCCACATTTCTTTAGCAGGTAAGGTCTTCCTAACTACAGGCAGTTAATACAGGCAATCACTCCTGGTTGCCTGCTTTGAGTCACAGCTTTAGCCCTATGATACCACACTTACCTTCCTTCTCTTCAGTGACAATTCATTATAGAAACCCCAACCTCTAGTGTGCCTGTGGGCTCATCAATGACTTAAACATTTACAATATGTCATGTTTTTAATACCCTCATCTGCCTGAGGTTTAAGCTGATAAAAGCCTTCATTAAATCATTGTCAGTGAGATAATTTTTTTTCAGCCACGCTGTGAGTAGAGGAATGCTGCTGAACACACACAACTCTTGCCATCCTTTGCAAAGGGAAAGGGCTCCTTCTTACTCTGCAGCGCACCAAGAGCTAATACCTGCCTCTCTGAGGGATGCTACCAGTGCTTGGCATAGCAAGAGTAGGGAATGTACTTAA